CGTGTTTGGATTTCGGGGTGTCCTGATTTCACTCCCCCAAGCCTGTGAGCGCGGATGTCCAGTGGAGAGGAGATGGACGTTGATGAATGGGCTGGCTTTTGTAGGTCATTGCTTTGAAATGGTTGTCCATGGAAAAGCCTGACTGGCACTTTGAAGTGAGTCCCCTCACTCTGGCCAGGCCTGTGATGGATGACAATTACAGTGCTGGTAGCGCTGGGCCCATGGTCTGTATAGCTGGGGTTAGTGGGCAGTGGCCACAGTGCCAAAGGTCAGGGCAGCTTGACCGGCCCCCGCTACTGCCAGGAGGGGGGACAGCGATGTGTGGTGCAGGCGGCTTTCAGAGCAGGGTTACTGGGGGCTCCACCATCACAATAGAGCCCCCGGGTTGGTTCGGGGGAGACTTGAACAGCCCTGCGAGGCTACATTTTTGATGCTCAGATTGACTGGGGGGGGGGAGATGAAATACGTTGGCAGAGGAAGGATGATGGGGAAACAAAAGACGAGAAGAGACCTAGCATCCCATCCCTCCAAAATAGATCTGCGCTGCTGTGGGAGTATGAACAGCAAAGCGCATGCAAAGGTACAAATGAGAGGAGGCAGTTTGGGCCCGTTGTCCTAGTTTGGGTGGCCATGCTTTAGCCCAGCTCGGTTCATCTTGCAAACAGAAATAAAAATGCGTTAGGCCTAGTAATTCTTATTGTGTTGCACAGTAGAAATGGCATGCTGCAGAAAGCCCTAATTCTGATTCAGACAGCCGTCCTGTGTTGCTGGATCGAGGCTTGGACAGTTCCAGTAACTTCATGGCTCTGGCACACCAGATCACTGCTCTTGTTTTTGTGCTGACCTCCTCAATTGCAGTACAGTCAACCCCCAAACAGCTGGGGAGGTTGATTAAGAATCTCATGCAGCCTTTTCGTGAAGGACTCAGGGATCCATCTTCGACAGCACGGGTAAGAGTCTTGTTCCACCAACCCAAGAAGTGCTTCCTGTTTTCTGTCCTAAACGCACTTCTTCATCATTTCTCCGAATGTTCTCAAGTCCTCCAGAAAAGAGCTGCTGTCTCTCGCTGCGCAGGTCAGTCGCATGTGGGTGTGGGCTGTATCAGTACTTGTATTTGGTGGTGTCCCTTCTGTTGCGGGCATGATCAGGTTTAATTCAGTCTACGTTGCTGTGCTTTATCCCCAGGTTGAGGTGTGGTACTTGAAACCAATCTCTCTGTGGCTCTAATGACATTCTTCTGTTAGTCTGACACATTGAAATAAGTCAAACACTGTGGTCTAGCCTTGATTTTCAGGCTGAAATTTCCAAGATGCATTAGGATCCTTTAGCATACAGATGTTGCACGTCTTTGCTGTGATTTCTTGGTTTTGGGATGAGAACTTTTAAACTCCTCTATAGTTGAGCTGGTGTACGCTTGGTAAGAATGGCATGACCAGGCTGTTGACACACCCAGCTCTTGAGAAGTGCAGCAAAGCCGTGCTGGAAATGAAGTAAAATTGAAATAATGAAATCAAGTTTGCGGACTGACGCAAGCCAGTCTTATAAACACAGGGATACTTACGTTGCGGTCACCAAGTTAACAACAAGCTTTTGTCCGATTTGCCCACTCCTCAGTTCGCTTCCTGAAGGAACCCTTTTTATTGTGCTGACTACAAGCAGTCTTTATCGCTCAATTATTCTCTTCTGGAACCCCTAAAAGAAACCTTTTTATTGGAAAAAAGTCTGACCCGTGCAGCACACTCGCTGTTACTGCCGACACCCTTACTACTGGTATCTGGAAATCCTAGGCCTCTCGTTGTGTAGAAGGGTTTTTTCTTATCGTTTCTTAGTAGGACTTTCCTAGCTCTCAGGATACACCAGATCCTGT